ATATGTTTAGGTTTATGTCCATCACCTTGCTATGTTTTTTCTATTGGCCCCATCTATTCTTTGTTCTCTTTGTCTTTTTTTTTTCCTGATAGCTTTTGGATTGAGCATTTTAAATTCCATTTTATCTCCTTTGTTAGTTTGTTTTGTTATTTTTGTGATTGTTTTCCTCTTCAACTTATCATGGTCTAAATTTAAGTAATATTATATCACTTCCCATATAATACATGCTAATGATAAATTCAGCTTTTGCCCATTTGAATGTCTTTATTTTGCCTTTGTTTTTGAATGATAATTTCTCTGAATACAGAATTCTAGGTTGAAAGTTTAAGGCACTGAAAGAAAAGATGCTGCTACACTATGTTTTCATCTGAACTAGTAATCTGCTATCAATTTTATATATCTTTTTTGTTCTGGTTGCTTTTAAGATTTCCTCTGTGTTACCCGTTTTAAGCAAACTAATTAAGATGTAGCCTGGTGTAGTTTTCTTCATTTCTTGTACTTGGAGTTCATTGAACTTCTTGGATCTCTGAGTTTGTAGTTTTAATCAAATTTGAACACTTTTTTCAACATTTATTTCTTTAAATATTTTTCTGTTCTCCACCACCATTTTCTCTTTCCTTGCCTTAGGAACTCCATCTGCATGTATATTTGGCTACTTGAAGTTGTCCCACAACTCACAGGTGCTTTTTTATGTTTTTTAAATTTTTTATTCTTTTTTTTTTTCTATGTGTATCTCATTGTGGATAGTTTCCATTGCTGTCTTCAAGGTCACTAATATTTTTTCCTGAAATGTCTAATCAATCTACCATTGATCCCATTCAGTATGTTTTTCATCCAAAATATTTTCTTCTCTAAAAGTTTCATCTCTAAAAGCTCAACATGTGTCTTTTTTTATACCTTCGCTGCCTCTACTTAACTTTTTGAACATATGAAATACAGTTATAGCTTGGCCTTTTCTGACAATTCTAATGTCTGTGTCAGTTCTCAGTTTTGATTGATTTTTTTTTATTAAGGGTCACATTTTCCTGCTTATTTTCATGCCTAAGTAATCTTTATTGGATGCCAACATTGTGAATTTTACCCTGTTGGGTACTGAGTGTTTTTATATTCTTTTAAATATTCTTGAGCTTTGTTCTAAGATGCAGTTATGTTACCTAACAATAGTTTGTTCTTTTCATGTCTTGCTTTAATGATTTCTTAGGAGGACCCACTGCACTGCTCAGTTTAAGGCCAATCATTCCCATAACTGAGGCAGGACCTTTCCAGGTAGTCTACCTGGGGCCCCATGAATTGTAAAGTCTTCAGGCTTGGTGAGAATAGGCGCTGTACCTGGCCGTGTGTGAAATCCAAGCCCTTTTCTTCTAATTCTTTCCAATGGCTCTGTTCCCAGACTCAGGTATTCTCCTCATGTGAATGAGCTGATCAGTATTCAGATGAATTCATGATTGGCACCTTCTGCAGATTTCTGGTCTTCTCCTTCTGTGTACCTTTCTCCTCTCTGGAACTTTGTCCTGTGAATTCTAGTTGCCTTGGTGGGTCTCTCCAGACACTTAGTTCTGTTTCCCAAACTCAGGAAGTTTGCTGGGCTCCACCTAGGTTCTTCCTCCATGTACTGTTGGCTGGAAACTCTCTCAAGGCAGTAAGCTGGGAAAATCTAGAGCTCACTTTTTTTTTTTTAGTTGCCTTATCTCAGGGATCATTGGCCTTCATTGCTGAGTATTTAGTGTCTTAAAAACTACTGATTCATATATTTTTGTCAGTTTTTTCATTCCAGGGAATTCTGATGTCCTGCTCTTGCTAATTAAAGAGGTCAAAATTACCACTGGCAAGAACATCTGGCCTCACCATCTTCTCATCCAGGCATTAGGCTGATGAATCATTCCTGCCAGAAACTGCCCTCCTGGACCTAAGGTTGTGTATGCTAGCTGGCCACTGACCAGTGCATCCAGCCCAAGGGGCATGTGGGAGCTGCTATCCTTTGTCTAATTTACCGGAAGGTTCCAGATGGAATGGTAGCCCACCTGATTTATTCCAATCTTCCCCTTCCTCTCTCCAGCCAGCTACCCTCTCTCTTCTGGCCTGTAGGCTTTGAGTAGCCAACTGGGGGGAATGGCCACTGCTTCTGCCCCAAGCAGTCCAGGCAGCATTTTGGACTGATACAGGCTTTGCTTCAGTATCACTGGGCAGTGAATGGGAATAGGAGCAAGTCAGATAGATACTCTACATGTGGCCTCTGGGGCCAATAAAGTTTCTAAAAGTTTAGATGGCTATCCAGGAAAGGAAAGGTCCTGACTAAATTTTCTTTTTTAAATAAAAATGATATTTTCAAAGAATTTTTTGAAAATTTCTGCTTAGAGTTATTTTGGTTTTTAGTTTTTTGGGTGTCTCTCTGTGTGTGTATTAGATTGAAATAAAGGGATAATGATAGATCATTGCCCAATATCTGAGGCCTGTAGCTCTTCTTTTTCCTTTAGGAATAACATCGAAATCTTCTGTTAACCCTTAAGAGTAACTATAGCAAACTTAAATACTCCCTGTATTAGTCTGCTTGGGCTGCCATAACAAAATACCACAGGCTGGACGGCTTAAACAACAGAAATTTATTTTCTCACAGTTTTGGAAGGTGGAAGTCCAAGATGAAAGTGCCAGCAGCATTGGTTTCTGGTGAGGCCATTCTTCCTGGCTTGCAGATGGCCACCTTCTCCCAGTGTCCTCACGCACCCTTTCCTCTGTGTGCTTGTGGGGAGAGAGAGAACTCTCTGGTGTCTCTCTCTCTTCTTATGAAGACATCAATCCTATCAGAGATTAGGGCCCCAACTTATGACCTCATTTAACCTTAATCACCTCCTTTAAAGGCCTTTCTCCATAGGGCCTTATTCCACACAGGGCAGGCTTGCCCATGCCTAAACCTTTCTTCACACAGGTCCCATCCTCATTTTTCCTCTTCAAGTGCATCCCTGTTTCAGCCTGCCTGGCCTCCTTACTCTCTGCCCCATTGTACCTCTGTAATACAGGCAGTACCAAGAGGCACCACAGCCTGGCAGTGGGTCCAAACTTGGCTGCACATTAGAATCACCTGGGGAGGTTTCAAAAAACCCTAATGTCATCCCATAGGCGTTAAATTGCAAATGTCTAGGGGTGGGAGGCAGATATCAGTGTTTTTATGGAAGGACTAGGTTTGAATCACTTACTGGTGATAAAGCCAGAACAGTGCCTGACATGTAAGGTATGTGCTTTCAGTGGTGCCTTATAAAGGAAAATCCTCTACTAGCTCAAGAATTTATACAGGAGAATCAGTATATCAACTCCCCTAAATGTGAAAGGAAAGAGTGAGCTGACATTTATCAAGCTCCTGCTTGGTGCAAAGCATGCTTTATTTTATTTAATCTTTACAATAGTTCCTCAATATCGATGTTATTATAATTGTTTTACAAAAGAATAAACTAAGGCTGAAAGAGATTAACTCAGGTTAATCTAGTGATGGAATTGGTATCTATAACCAGGTCTTTCTCACTTCAAAACTCATGCTCTTTGTTGTGAAAAATGCTTTAGCTGAAAAGAAAAAAGGGGGAAAATACTTCCTGTAGTCTCAGTGTCTTTCACTAATAAAAATATAATGATTTTTTTCTATGGTGCAGTGGAGGGGAGGGCTGGAGCCCATCAAACATCAGGGAAGTGCTTTCATTTTTCCGAATAGGAAAGGTGCTAATTGAATAATGGAAAGTAATGCTAAGATGAATACAGCATCACTGCTAACTTTTTTAAAAGTTTAACTAGGCCAGAAAGCCTCCACTCTGCATTTTGTGTTCAAAACCAGACTCTACATTTGCTAGCCATGTGACCATGACCAATTATTTAATCCCTCTGTGCCTCAGTTTGTTCACCTATCAAATGGGGATAATACCCACTCCCTCATAGAGTTAGGAGGATTAAATGAGCTAAATAGAAGCCCAGCCCTTTCAGTAGCACCTGACACATGATAAGTGGCCACCAAATGGTAGCCATAATTCTTGTCATTACATTTAGAGAGAGCAAATTAGTCTTCCAAACTCTAAGATTTCAATTTAGATGAAGGAGCTCTAAGCTAAAGTCCAGAAATACAACTAGATTTTAACGATTTCTTCTTAATATAAATAATTCAAACCCACATTCACCCTGTCCCTTCTAGATAAACATTCCATACTCCTGTGCCACCTTTCTGCAGCAAGGTCCAGACCCTGCTCAAAGGAAAGTGATTAAGCCTTTCCTGTAGGTATCTGAGGGTGAGTAGGATGGTTTCCCGACACAATAGTCTGGATGTAATTTAGTCTGCAGGAAAGGGCCAAAGTCAGCTGACCTCATCACTGAGGTCTCCTCCTGCTCTTTTTCCTTGTAAGAGTACATGCATCCTGAGGAAGCCTCCCCTTGACCAAATGTTTGTCAGCCTCCTCTGAATCCTCAAATAGGCCTCAACCTTTGGACTTTTATGTTCATCTTTGTATAGCCTGATTTTAGCAAAAATCCTAAGTCAGTTTTGTCAGAATCCCCCACCCTCAGTATCTAATCACCTTGATAACTGATCAGGTTTCTCATTCTCCACCATCCCCTAGGTGATGTCTGATCACCCTGGCCTGTCTTCAGCCAGAATCCTGGATTAGCCTTTATCCCTGCTGCCTCTTCTTAGTAATTTTCCATCCACTGACCTCACCCTACTCCTTGGCTGTGAATCCCCACTTGTTTATATTGTATTCATATTTCAGCCCAGTTCTATACTGAGGTCTGCTTTCCCCTATTGCAATAGTTTGTGAAGAATCTTTTTCCACTGCTTTAACTACTATCCAGCTCTGGTTCTTCTTTGACAATCTACACACACACACCAAAGCACATTTTGGAAGTTCTCCTCAGCACCTCCTCGCATCTGGGCTATGGAGATCTCCTGATTAGGAACATGGAAACAGCCCTTGGTCCCTACTAGTCACATTTACAACCCTTTTACACTAGTGACCATAAATAGCACCAACCGCAGTCTATTGTGGCCACGTCTGATTCGGGCGGCTCGGCCACCAGCCTCTGGATCTGGGCCAGGGTGCTGCAGGCTTCTTTTAGCTCCCTCCAAATGAGAAACACGTCCTCTCTGACACCAGCTCCTGGAAAGGGAGACACAGCGTGAGTGGCCAGCTGAGACAGGCCCCAGAACCCTCTGGCAGTTCTATCAAAGCCTGGCACATTGCAGCCAAGTTTCTAGAACATTTCTTAACATTAAATTCCACTTTCCCCACTAATCTCTTTCTGAGAAAACTGAAATCCCCAAGGAAGTGTTATCACCTCAAGAAATCATAACTGCAGACGTTAGGATGCCATAAATCCTTGTAAACTAAATATTTGTAGTAGCCAGGATATTTTAAGATCAATTATTTATAATACTCAAATAAGATAGGAATAAAAACATTCAAAAGCACCTTATAGAAGTCAGGGTCAGTGCTGTGAGGAAGGGAAATTCACTGGTACATGAAGGCAACAGCCCCTAGTCCTTTCTTGACTTAGCTGCAATTTCCTGCTTCTGTGAAACCACCTTCACAAGTCTGTACTTTCCCCTAATGTAATAATAGTAGTCTGGCCTCCTTTTCTGAACTTCAGCTGTCTCACTTAATGTTTAAGTTTGGCTGTAGGACATTTTTAAAAAGTAATATTTGGCTTCATTAATTTAGATCTTTACATCTCTCAATCAAATTTCATTGCACAGGTAAGTGGTCTAGGGCTAGGACAGAGGCTCTGCCTTCATTGAGATCCAGTCTCTAACAGATAGCTGCTTCCAGAGATTAAAGAGGATGTAGGGACAGGAGGGAAACAGGTATGATGATAAAAGTGCAATGCAAGGGTTCCTGTGGTGATATCTTAACTATATGGAAGTGGAGTTCCTGGCTGTGCTGTGGTACTATGTTACCACATGGGAAACTGGATGGAGGGTACAGAGATATCTCTGTATCATTTCTTACAACTGTATGTGAATCTAAATTATCTCAAAATAAAAAGTTTAATTTTAAAAAGTAAAAACAAAAACAAAAAAAAACTTAAAAAAACATCCAGGCTCTTTCTATCTTGCAGCACATCCTTCTGTTCTCAGAGTCACCTCAGGATTCACCGGCTTCTGTAGTGCCAAGCAGCACGTCCAGGCTGTGGTGCAGAGGCAGGATGCTGGCAGAGCAAATAAGCACAGCCCCTGGCAGGGTCAGTCCCTTTTAAGCACTCTTCCCAGAAGCCCTGCACAACAGCTTCCTTACTTATCCACAGCCAGAACTTCCTCACAGGCCCCATGTGGCTGCGAGGGAAACTGTGAAGTGTAGCTTTTAAGCAGGGTGCACTAAGCAGTAAAATTAGGGCTATGTCCTAAGGAGGGAGTGGATCTCAGTGGCAGCCAGCAGCTCCTGCCTCATCACAGAGACCTGTTCTCCTGTCAGATGTATCCAACACCCCTTCCCCACCCCTAAGTCTGCATGATAGTTCACAGCTGCCTGAGATCCCACAAGCATAGTGAGTGAGAGACCACCGTCTGGTCCAGGGTGCTGGCCAAGGAGATTCATGCACCCAGGGCCAAAAGATTGACCCTAAGCCACCACCAAGACAGACTGGGGCAGACCAGAGTCGATGTTTCTCAATTTTAAAATGTAGTCAAGAAGGGCAGGGCAGGGCAGGCCAGGCAAGGAAGCTCAAGCCTGTAATCCTAAAACTCTGGGAGGCCTAGGCATGAGGATCAGTTAAGGTCAGGAGTTTTAGGCCAGGCTGAGCAAGAGTAAGACCCCCATCTCTCCAAAAAATAGAAAAAATTAGTCAGGCCCAGTGGCCTGTAGTCCCAACTACTCAGGAGCCTGAGGCAGGAGGATTGCTTGAGCCCAGAAATTTGAGGTTGTGTGAGCTATGATAACACCATTGCACTCTACCCGGGGCGATGGAATGAGATTCTGTCTCAGAAAAGGGGGGGAGGGGAGAAGAAAGGGGACATCAGAGCTCTGGCTTCCCCAAGTTGGCCAGATTAAGTGATCAAGTGACAAAGTATTAATAGCTGTGCTCATAAAGATGCAAGTGACAAGCCCTGACAGAGATGGATGGTCACCTCGGCTTTGCAGCCATCAATAGCCCAAGGAGTGAAACATGATGTATACTAAGCTCCATGTTGGAATTTCAAAAATATCGCATACCGCTGCCAAATGTGAACCTTAAGCCCACAGGCCTCCTGACTGCTGTAAAATCAAGACTGACTTCCAGCTGCTTGCTTCAGCATGGAGGTGTTAAGTAGCAGGATTTTCTCCCAAAAAGCTTCAAATGAGTCAAGGCTTTCCTTTAGATTCGTCAATAATAATATACTCCCTCTTAATATTAAGAGGGAGTATCCCACCGGTCAGCAGCAAAGGAGAAAGTTCCAGGGAAGCCCAGCTATCTTTTGATCTGGCGAGGGAAGGAAATGTCTCAGGGATGGCAGTGACCAGGACATGCTCCCTGGGCAGGCAGTAACTAGGATTATCCCCACACTGCTTTAGTAATTGTTAAGGAGACAGCTACAGATTGCTACACTGGTTATCAGAAAGCAAAACAACTCAAAACTATCTGTTTGATTAGCTTTGCTTTAAAAAAAACAGTAAAAAAGCAAAAACACAGAGCAGTAAAAGCATCACTTAGAACACACATGTTCTGTTTCAAGTCACTCCATAGGCAGGGCGTAGGGCTGTCAGTTTCATCAGAATCACTTCCAAGGGACTTTGCTGGGGTATCAGAGCACGGCCAAGGGAGGGAGCCCCAGGGAGATGGAAGAGGATGGATGATGCAGCCCAGGAAACCTCAGTGTTCAGAGGGCTTGGTGAATTTGAAATTCTCCAGGCTAAACCAGAGAGGAGAGGAAACACGGAGCCTTGTGTATCTTGACCATCAAGGTATAAGCCAGCAAAGGCCTGCCTTACAAAGAAGTTGCATGTGGCTCCTCACACAGACATCCCATCGAGGAGACCTAAGGATTCTCCAACCAAAATGCCCCTAACACACTGCTGCTCTCCCCTATGCCCTGGGGCAACAACTTGAAGGTTCATGTTAAAATGCTATCATCACCTGGGAGAGATGCTAATGTAAACTGGTATCATTAGCACCTGATATTAACTGCTCGGACTGGCTACTTTGACAAAAGGAATGAGACCCAGGACAGCTAAGTTTCAATGTGGGAGGGGAAGAGTCCACTGAGTACCTGCTGCTGAACATCACCTCCCTGTCACATCTTCTGCCTCTCACCTACAGGCTAAAGTCCAGGTGTCACCGTCCAGTTCATTAATATACTCATTTAGCAAATATGCATTGAGCACCTACTATGCAGTGGGTGGGTGCAGTCAGTGCTGGGACTACAGTGGGAACCAGGACCCTACTCCCCAGGGTGGCACTGAGTCTAGAGCTCAAGGCCTCATGACATTCTAACACTGCCCCTATGAACACAGAGCTCTGTCCTCCCAGTCCCCTGTTAGGAGACTGAGGCCTCCACTGCACTCACCTCATCCCACCCTTTACTCAAGGCACGACCCTAACTCCACCATCAAGCTTTGCCCAGCCACCCCAGGAAATGGAGAACTACCTCCTGCTCTCCACTCTCCACTCCAGAAGAATGAACCAGTATACCACTGGTCTCCATCCTCTTGCAGCCAGGACACCCCCAGGCCACGCAGTCAGTGAGGCTGCCTGTATCTGCAGTTCCTGGCTGCCTGTCACTCCAGCCTCTTAGTCAAAAGAACACAGAGAAGCATGAGCCAGTGATGGTGACATCATTCTATGCATGACCTTGAATCCAGCCCTTCACAAACATGATGCTTATTTTTAGTAGGCAGCTGCCTACAATACAGCTCAGCACTCAGCAATGTGTACACAGCCCTCTTGCTCTCCTCTGGCACTGAACATGCAGCCTGTTGCTGCTGTTTATGTTTGCATGCGCTGACTTTGCCCCCACAGGATGGTAAATGTCTTGAGTATAGAAACAACATATTTTCTCTCTTTGTATCCTCCACAGCACTCAGCCCAGGATCCAGTGTTTTCCAGGAGAATTCCTATCCTTCCTTGATTTTTATCTTCCCTTATTATAAAGAAATAGTTATTGAGCACCTAGTGTATTCTTTCCTCATGGAACTGCCCTGCCTTGTAATGTACAGCCGCATTATTGCAAGACACTTCTCTGAGGGGTATGTGACAGGCTCAGGTCACTTGAGCACACAGCTATGCCAAGGTACTCCAGATATGGACAATGACATGCCCTAAAGCACTATGTCATTTCCTTGTAGGTCCTCATGCCACACAGCAAAGCAAGACTCTCCACAAGCACCTAAAATGCTATCATTCCCATGGCAGGAGGAGAAAAGCAATTAGAAAGGCAGGTGTGGCACTGGTCTGAGGGACAATTTAATGCCGCCCTGCAAGAGGGCAGCCCAGAAACAAAACCCCCTAGGCGACTCTTGAGTCCTAGACCAGCCTCTCCATCCCACTGTGGCTCGTTTGCTTAGGGCTTCTCCCCACCCCCAGCACTCCCAGGGGAAGAATTGGCCCTGCCAAGTGGTGAGCTTGCTGCCTGCCAGAGCTCTCAACTCCTGTTCAGTTGTACAGATCTGAAAGACCTCAAATATTAATAACTAAAAAAGCAATATTTTCAGGAAAAAGTAGCATTTACTTCTATTTTCAGAAAACAATATGGCATTTAAAAAATAATAAACTGTGAGGTGTTAAAAATTCTCAGAGACCGGCCGGGCGCTGTGGCTCACGCCTGTAATCCTAGCTCTTGGGAGGCCGAGGCGGGCGGATTGCTCAAGGCCAGGAGTTCAAAACCAGCCTGAGCAAGAGCGAGACCCCGTCTCTACTATAAATAGAAAGAAATTAATTGGCCAACTGATATATATATAAAAAAAAAATTAGCCGGGCATGGTGGCACATGCCTGTAGTCCCAGCTACTCGGGAGGCTGAGACAGAAGGATCACTCAAGCCCAGGAGTTTGAGGTTGCTGTGAGCTAGGCAGACGCCATGGCACTCACTCTAGCCTGGACAACAAAGTGAGACTCTGTCTCAAAAAAAAAAAAAAAAAAATTCTCAGAGACCTAACATTGTCATAAGCATCTGGTGACAGGGGACATTA